AGACAGTATCAGACGTCCAGTGCTTGGACCAATAGGAATGAATGGCAATGACGCATTTTGACAATGTAAAAATAAAAAAATATTTAACTTGGTCGCCTGGCTTGTACTACAACATAAAACCACCATGCACGTCATACTATATCGGAAGCAAAACAAATTTTGCTGGCTGGCTTGCGCACGGTGGAGAACTGAGCGATGACGTCACGCGCATCCCACGGCGTTGAGCCGGGCCGGTGCGTGATGACGTCACGCCCCCACCACCCCCTCCCCCCAATCCCCCACCCACCTCCCACCCGTGATTCCTGCGCAAATGAGCAGTGCTTGTTTGTAGAAACAAAAAAAAATCTGTCCGCTACTATGCTGCACTCTGTTCACAGTGCAAATTATGTTCAACGGCAACACACCAAAATCCTACTCTGACACGTGTGCCCTTTGCCCCGTATCATCAGACAGCAGTGATTTTCTGAGCAGAAATGTTCCTTTCACTGAACACTTAATTTTATAACTTAGACGTTCCATAATTTTAGCTGCCGTAGTACAAATGTTGGATAGACAGTACACAAAGGGTCACAATGTAACGTTTAACGCATGCCACACACCTTCTCTGGAATTTGTGGACAGTCTAAATCTGTGATGTTTGAAATATTTCTAATTCTGTCAATAGGAGAAAACAGACGTTCCAAAACACCAATATCATTATCTTACATGGCATTAGATTTTAAAAAAGGACATTACTTAAAATTCTACAAATTGTCTTAGTATTGTGAGGATTCTTGTAAGCAGGGCATTTGTTGCATGTGTAATTACGGTGCCCGGAGAACCCCAATTTAAGTGTCAATTGCGATCCAACAATTGGGAGACTCGCAGGAGAAACCTCGATGTCAGATCGTTGATAAAGTGAGGGGTCCTCTTGGCAGCTTCTTCATTACTTTATACTGGTAGGAACCTCCTGGTTACACCAGCCAACAGGGTATTATTGTGTCCGTCCGTCCGTCGTGCATCCAAAAATGGGAGGGGTGGGGCTGGGTGGAGAGGGGAGGTTGGGGAGGGGCTGGGTGGGGAGGGTGGGGCTGGGTGGGGGGTGGGAGGGGTGGGGCTGGGTGGGGAGGGACTGGTCACCCCGTGGTGCCCTTATAAAACTCAACGTTTAACCTACTCACGCCGGCTTGTGCCCGCCCTCACAGTCGGGAATATTTTCGGAATACACCACGCCGCCGTTGACCCTGGCCATTGACCGAGCAACCCAACGTTCATACCAGCTCCCTCCGCAGGAATGTGTTTTTATTACAAGGTCGGCAAGTGGCAACTACACGGTGATGCACAAATCTGTCGTTTTAAAACACTGTGATTAAACAATAACTGCACTTTACACCGTTTGGCATACTATCCCAACGTGAATCGAAACATACAAACAGCAGCCCGGCAGCATTATTTGACTTTTTTTTTGCAAAAACAAGATTAAAGTTAGTTTTTGCGCAGTTATAAACAATGATTTCTCCTGATTACCACTGTAGCGATCTTAAATATTTTTATTCCAGTTATATGAAATATCTACTCAGAAAAACACATCTTAAAGGCAACGTCTTGGCAAACGTTTCTTTCAAAGTCTGGTTTATAATGCACACCTGTATTTAAGGAGATTAGTATCTATGAAATCAGTAAGTGCAATGTGAATATCACCTGCCACAAAACACGCACCTTCTGATGCAAATGTCACACATGCTGCTGCCAAAACCAAAAATAAATACCACGTCACTGTGCTCTTGATCACTCCCAACGCATGACAATCCATCAGCCCTTCCACTATGAAACGTCAAGTGATATTCGGCATGCCAGCATTGGACCATCAGCGCAACGCGTGAACAAAGTGTCTCAGCACGCACGACCATTGTTTTAACAGTGACAGTATTATCGTGTTGGCAGGAACTATTTTGCTATATGTTTGCCAAGTCATGAATTGTACAGACACACTTTAGACGTATGCATCCATTACTATATATTTTTTAGCGTGAGTTTTTATAGCGAGTGATCAACTGCATATCTGATTTCTCTGGAAGCGCTTCTATTTTTGGTGTTTCAGAGTGGAGACATGTTTATGTGTGACAGTACTCTGCGTGTGGCGAGTCAAATAATTAATGCTTTCATACCAAGTGTCACTTATTAAAGCAACATGCAGCATGTTTCCGTCATAGCCCAAATCTTTTTCGTTAACGATCTTCTATCTGGCAGCACACGGTGCGCCTATTCGTCGATGCATGTACGTGTGAAAGATGTGGCGTATGACTGTCACGTTAACAAAACGCCAATTAGTTACTTCTTCAGCCCACCGGTGTGTTTCAAGAGTGAATCCACAACATTTAGAATTTGAGTACGACGTTTCGCTGGTAATTACATCCAGCATCTTCGGGCGATTTGCCCAAAGGTGCTGAACAAATTGCAGTATGTATACCTACACACGTGTATCAAGCCAAGTGAAGATGTTTGCTTAGTAATGTCGCACACCGATCCATCCAAATGTCCAACAATGCAATAACGAGATGCTTTGAAAAGATGAACAAAAATAATGTTCAATTTTAAATCCTCTGCGTTCTGTGTTCAAACATATGGAGAGCTATTATCCTCGAAAGCGAGTGCAAGTCTGTGCATATGAATTAGCTCATTATTGAAAGTTTCCCACTTGTCAAAGACAAAAAAAATAATAAACACTTTAGACAATCAGTGGGGTATTATACAAGTAAAATCAGACAAACATTACCTCGCATGCCAAACATTATTAAAAACGTATTGTCATGGACGTTATAGCTCGATTTTGCTTAAACTTTTTCATGTTTTTGTTAAACTAATTCTGTCATCCACAATTTAATGCGACTCGCATTATTTTGCCCGTGAAAGTGAAAAACTGTATAGCAAAACCAAAATAAAATGTTTGGAGTTTCAACATGAAGGAAAAGATAAATGAATACACGTGCTATGTTAATGCCTCTTACAATGCCTAAAATTTAGATTTGCTATGTCGGTTGGAAACATGACCACATCATTTGTAAGGGTCTGTTCTGCAGACTTCCTCTCACTCCCACAGGAATGTTTTAATCCTTTTATTTTGAATCTCACTGTGGAAAAAAGATGAAGTGCGTGGAACCATGAGCTTCTTGGGCTAATCTGCGACATACATACAAAGCAGAGCTAACCCATCGTAAGTCTCTTCTATGCGTCAATCTGTGGTGTTTCCCCTTAACCCACAAAGTTACGGACAACAGGAGAGTCAATGAGGATATCCAGCGCGATTGCATATTGGCTGGACCTGTTAATAAAGAGTCGTGATCACAGCAACGCGGATATTGTTTACATGCATTTATTTTGAACATGCGTGTTCATTGGCAGATTGCAACAGGGTGAAAGGTGGTCATCGTCTAATACAGGGGTGGGAAACCTCTTTTCTGCCAAGGTCCATTGGGATATTTATAACATCATTCGCGGGCCATACAAAATTATCAACTTAAAAATTAGCCTGTTATTATTTGGTCAAACATTTAATTAACTCACCCCTAATGTGATGGCTGGAACTGCTTCTCTTTGGTGAGGTGTGTGGTGATGTTAGCTGGTATTGATGATGTTAGCTGGTATTAATGATGTTGCTACTCGAAACTGCTTTTCCAGGTTTGCTCCTAGATTTATTGAATTTCGAGTCCCGCCTGCGGTTGCCTTGGCAGGGCCAGCAGACCAACTGATTTTGCGGGCCTCATACGGCCCGCGGGCCGGACGTTCCCCACCCCTGGACTCTAATACAATACTCTATTTTACTCTACATCGCAAACCTACGCTTTCACTTGTTTGAAAGGAAATCAATTTACCTGATGAAGGAATTATGCCAATGCTGTCGCATTGAAGTTGTGTACAGTATATAAAATATTAAAAATGCTAGGTTTTATACAAATACAGCCCTTTTTGTCAATTCACTGCTGCACGATGGCCTGCCCACTTCTGCTGCGGGTATTTTGGCCATACTTCATCACACCAGTCAGTGCAAGTTGAAGGCGGCGATGGTCGTAGACGTAGGAGCACAGTGCAACGCAATCATGGATTCTGCTTCTCACACGCGTAGCCCCAGTGGGTTTTACTCACTGATAGTCAACTAAATATTTTCGAAGATAGACCTTAATGAAAGGCATTTACGGGCAACCTTGCAATGGAGACGCAAAACACGTGTTCGAAATGATAGCTTTTCCTTGGTGTACCAATTGGCCATCAGCCGACGCACCCCATAAACTGCCACAGCACACGTCATTGCAAATTACAGCATAAATAATGTATTTATGCGTATTATTGTTGCCAGGATATAAACTAGGTGAACCACTTGCTGGATGTTTTATTGCTAGATTACAGAAGTGATACTGAAGTGCCACGCACACTATCACTCAAAAAACATAAGTGCCTTGTGCCAACATATCACATAAGCAAAGCGAAATGGGTCACCTACACAATCGGTATCCTTCATCTTTAAGTTAAATGTTTCATCACGTTACCTGCGGGAGCTGTTGTGTTGTACGAAAGCATCTTTCGGTCCAATTTGTGTAAAACTCAAAATACTTCACTGGCATGGCAATTTCAAACAAGACAGTGAGATGACATTGAGGCGTTTTTCTATTCACGCAAAAAAATGGCAAAGATGCCCCGTATAGCCTGTAACAGACTGTTGGGGCAAGTGCTGTTAGCGAGCACACCTATGAAGGCCGGCACGGCCGCTTGTGTCTCGCTAGTGGCGATATTTACACACTGCACCAGGTACTAATTTGAGGTTGAGTCGACCTAGGGGAGGCCCAGGACCGGTTCAGATAATCGTCACTGGTGTTGGCCGTGAGCGGGAATCGAACCCGGATCGCCAGGTTCGTAGTGCAGCGTAGCGCTAACCGCTACACTACCGCTCCCCACATGTATGCACGTACACACTCACATAGACACATGTGGAGGAGGTTTACTATTTCTCTTCTCGTCTCATATTAGTCAAATAAGTTAACTCTTCAGTCCCCCACAATGGGCAGCTTTTCAGGTTTACCGGTCCGTCACACTTAATGCAACTTGATCAATACACATGACGCACGTGTTGACTGATACAGTGCAGGATGATCGTTCGCTGGAAATAATGGCAGTTAATGAGGGCAGAATTGGGTAAATCTAAAAAGTGTAGCTGAAAATCTACCATGAGTAAATAAATACCAAAATAATATTGCTCCATGGGGAAAGAGGGATTTACATATAAATGCATCCGACACACATTCACAAACACACATGCAAGCACACAGTGCCAGGCGCCAGCAAACATCCTTTTGGGGCACACTCAAAAATCCCACTGTGAGTGACAAAGAGAGATGTGGGCAGACAGAATGAGGGAGATTGCTTTCTCCTCCATTACTTCTCCCTTTAACCCCCCCCCCCCCCCCCACAAATCAAACGATGCGACACATGAACTTCCAAGAAATTGCCATTGAGTGAACCTCTAAGATGTATTGCTCGGTGTCCTGTTCAACATCTTAATCAGCATCAAGAGCAGAGCTTAACACACTATACCAACGACAACCTTGCCACTCAACCAGGATACAGGTATTTTCTAGAAACAAAAAAAGAATGATTATTGAAGGATAAGCTGCAGCTTCTTTGCACTGGACTTTAAAAGTTATTTCTCGAATGTGCATCCAGACCATAAGATGACAAGTGGCCAGGAAACACAATTGGTAAAAAAAATTGTAGATTTTTTCATGGACTTTCAAAGGAAAATGTAACCCAAAAACAATTGAGTGCTATTTCGCTACATTTTCAAAACAATGTTTCACAGAAACGTGTGCAGATTAATTTGGCTTCTTTGAATGAAAAAATGTTTTATCTCCGAAATCCCAGCTCCCGGCTGCAAGACGTTGTGCTGCCATTGTGGCTTCAGACACTGAGCTCTTCATGCGAAGATGAAGCGACGCCCACCATGCAGTGCACAACGTCAAGTAGCCGAGGAACAGGAACCTCGCCGTTGAAAAAAAAACAAACGTGGTGGGGACATCACAAGAGGCCGACACGGCGGTGCATCTGCAAGTCGCGCAGCTGCAATTTTTCAAATATTTCCTCTCATTCATGAACCTTTAAAATAGAATTGGAGAGCTTGTGACAACGTATGACCTACGTGTGTAGCTACACAATAACCTCAAATTAATAAATGTGAAGACAACAGGAGCAGCTACTGCTATGGCACTGTCCACATGCAGTTCTATTTGAATTATTATGACTGAGAGGCAAAGCCTCAGTGGGATGAGTCGCAGCTCCCCGTGCTCCACACACACTCCTGGATCGACAGCATTTCACCCCAAAATACACGCATATTTGCACGTCCACGAACACAGCCACGCATGCTGAATCGCACGCCGAGGGGCAGGCAGCCCTATCTTTGGCGGTGGCTGGCCAGCAGATACTCAGAGCTCTTGCACGTCACAAAGCTCTTGATGTTCCTCAGCGAGCCGCCGGACGTGAAGTAAGCCCACGTGCCGAAGGCGGCCATCATGAGGTAGGCCGGTATCAAGCTCGCCTCGTAATTGGGATTCGCGAACGTCTGCAGGCAACAACAACACCACCGTTGTGAACGCGGCGTTTGCACAAGTCACCATGTTTACAATACACAGACAAAAAGACAAAGATCCTCCTTATAGCCTGAACAAAAGTGCTGTTAGCGAGCACCTATGAAGGCCGGCACAACACACGAGGGGGTGGGTGGCCAACATCACGCCTAACCGTGTTTGTCTTCCTAGTGGCGATGTTTACTACACACCACACCAAGTACGCATTTTAGGCTGAGTCCACCGAGGGGAGGCCGAGGACCGGTTCAGATAATCATCACTGGTGTTGACTGTGAGCGGGAATTGAACCTGGGATGCCAGATTCGTGGCTCAGTGCCCCAACCACAAAACGACCGCTCTCCACAAGATACAGAGCAGACAAGGGGACCTGCGTTTGGGTAATGTCCAGCTAGATACTGATATTTCTCATAGAGGTGACAAAACTGAACAAACACAGAATACGAATCTAATGAAAGCCTAGAGGTTAAAGAATCATTAAACGATATACAAGTACATATCTTGTAAGACTATGTTGGTAAAGCCCTCAAATTTCACTTGGAGGATTGTGAGATCATTACTTAATCAGAAGCTGTCAGCTAATCATCGTTGTGGGGTCAATACAATGTGACATTAACAGTGGTCATGATTTTAGACTGGCCCCCATTACAGTACTGTGGAATTACCAAACTGGGAAAGGGCTGCTAGTGATAAGCATTCATACAATGCTCATATTAGCAAGGAGATGTTTCACTGCATATTAAATGTTACAAAAATTGGACTCTTCGATAGCATCAAGTTAAAACGTCTCTTGAGATTGATCAGCAGACACAGCGACATGCTCGGAAAAGATCTGACCGTTCACTGCAACACAGTCATGTCATCAACTGTAGATCAGTTTGTTCCCACGTTACATTACAGCTGATGAGGAAAACACCAGGCCGTTATATTGCAGTCACAATTAACTGTATAATATAAGGCATGTTCACACCAACGGTAATTTTTTTTGTTTTTATGACAGCAGAAATGAATGCCTCATACAAGGAAGAATGTTCACGTTAATTTGGCTATGTGAATTTTTTCAGGCGTGCTTACAAAAAAAAACAGACTCACTTCATTTTTTTATGCATGCCTCTGAACGCTGGTTTTGTTTGGTCATTTGCCAAATTTAAGCATTTAAAACAACGTGAAGTAAAACATTGGGGACACTGCGGGCCACTAAAGTCAAATGACCACCGTAGCCACAGTGGGGGTGTGGCTAGAAAGAGGAATAAGGATAGAGGACTGGGGCTGTGACAAGAGAAGCAGCACATTATCAGGGAGAGTGATTAGATATACTGAGCGAGAAATAAATACAGCAAAACAGAGACACTGTGAAAGAGACACACACCGATACATAAAGACAGATAAAGACAGATAAAGACAAACGGATGTCCACACAGACAGATTGAGAAGCAAACATGAAGACAGGTAGTTAGAATCAAGGACAGGGAAAAAGATAGATGGAGGAGATACTTGCCAACATATTGAAAATGTACGTCAACAGAAGTCATAATTAGGAATAGCAGAATAGCTAGGTAAGCCAATTCGTAAAAAGTGCTATTCGCTGCACCTCCAGTTAATTATAATGCACTCAGGATGTAGACGCACCCTGCTGACAACGCAAAACAAATCCAAAGTGGTCTAATATTTACCTTGTTAAAACAAAGGGACACAGGGAAACATTTGTCTGGAATAATCATTCAGTCACTGGAATGATTTATTTTATATCGACAAGCAAACAGACGGCTTCCTCCGTTGATGTATTTATTATCCTCAGCCTGTCGTGGTATTAAATGAGCAGTTGTACATTTTACAACTTATCTCCCCCTCGCTCTCCTTGCAAAATAAAGTTTACAATGCATGTTACAGGCCTCTCACCGGGGCAGGTAATTGACAAGGAGCTGAATGGAATTGGCTCTACACATTTCACGCTCACCAGTGAGGAGACGAAGACGTGACTTAAAACAACCGCAGCCACTCCCCACCAGTGTTTCCTGTCGCAGGACTGGAAGAAGACCACACCCCAGGCAGTGTGCAGGAGCACCATGGCCATGGTCATGAAGGCTGCAGGAGAAGACACGCATGTGTTACACGAGACTCAAGTGCAGGGAATGAGCAGTGAGTAAGAGTTTATGTTTTCAGCTGTGTCTGATGATCAATCTTTAAGATTTGTCCACCACGTGCGAGTCGGTCGAGTTGACCTTAAGCCCGGTAACTCATTCCAGCGCTCTGAAGTCAAACGGCTCGGTTCAAAAGCATAAAATGGTAATTCGTGCAGGAAATTGCCAATTTACGTTGCATCCTGAACGGTGGATGTATTAGACCCTATGACATTGTGTGCTGGTGTCATATCACCGTATTAAAACATTACCTGCAACTAAATTGTAAGAAAATAATAACTCGCCTTTCTTCTCAAAATCAATCCTGTGTCTCCCTTGAGATTGTACGGCATTATTACACAGCTAACATATAAACTCAGAACTGAACATGAAATGTGTACATGCCACTTGTTTATAATGCAAGTTAATGCCCTGTGAAGCAAATCATAATTCTCTATAACGCTGTTGTGTGTAAACATGTGCTCTTGGGTTCAGTCTCTAAAAGTGGGAATTTACAAACCGGTAATACAAGTGTAAATAGCAAGTCAGGGAACATTTTGAAAATAATAGTTTCATTTTCAACTCTTGTTTACTGAACATTTCAAACAGCATGCATTTTTGTGTGTTTTTTATAGTTTAAACACCATGAGCCAAATTTAATTGTTGGTGAATGTAAATTTTCATTAGATATTTGGCTAAAATGTGGCAATGCCACCTTTATCAATAATCCATACAATTGCCATGGCAATGTGACTCATTTGCACTATCCACATCTTGGCAGACAGTTAAGCATTTCCCTGTAAAAAAATCCACTAAACTATAAGCATCACAATAGAAAAGATCTCAACAGTAGTGTCACTGGATTTCATTCACTAACTCAGAAGGGGTATTAGGGACCTTCATTGGAAACAATATTGAGAATATTATACTTCCGAGTGCTGTTTAGATGTGTTTGTAAAACACATCACATATGGCAAAGTCAATGTAAGTGCACACCGAAGTCATAAAATGTATTTAAAATTAAATAAAATTAAGGTGAGTTTCACAATTTTACACACAAGAACCTGGTTTTACCTCGGAAAGTTGATTGCAATTTAACCCAGGAAGGTAATGCCATTTAACACACGTCTATTGGTTTATAAATCTGGCTAAGGGCATTACCTTCCCGAGTCAACACTTGAATAACCAGCAAAAATACACAATCAGATTAAGGACAAAGACTGCAGTAGTTCAAAAAACCTTAACCCAACAAGTAAGGCCAACCTGATGAGAGGAAGTAGTGCGCAGAGTCCCCGTGGATTCCTACCGTCCCGGGCCCCAGAGACTCGGCAAGGATGTTCACGCCAGAAAACGCACCGCTCATCATGCCGAAGCCCAGGCCAGACACTGTGGAGGAAGGACAAGGCAGACAAAACAAGCGACAATGAGTACTGCATGAGCTAACACTGGAGTCGAGGTAGAGTGCCAACCTGTTTAAACAATGGGACAATGCTCAACCTGAGCCATTGGTGGAAATTCCACATTCTCATGGCATGGGGCCAGTCTGTTAAAATAATAACCACTTTTGCGGTTGTCATTTTATTGACCAAGAATGAAATATATGCACACCTCGATTTTAACGTATAACCTTCAGATTGCCAAAGCCCTCCAATTAGCACAGTTGGCTACGTATGTTGCAAACAAAGTTCAAGAGATAAAAAGTTCCAATGGTTAATTCGAAGGCCAAATAGGAGATTTATGGAAACAACATACATCGTGAGGCCTTTGCCTTTGCTGTAAAAATCCCAGCCTCCCAACTCGTCGTAGAAGCTTGTAATCCAGCTCTTTAGATGCACATTGGTGGATCATACAGATTTTAGCATAGAAGCTTGTAATCCAGCTCTTTAGATGCACATTGGTGGATCATACAGATTTTAGCATACACGCAAGACTCCCAACCTACAAGATGACCAGTAGATAGCAGTGCAGAAAATTGAGTCACACCAACATTTCTTAACTTTTGATTGGTATCATTTCATACTTGGGTATCCTCTGGGATGCATAACACTCATTAAGGAATTTGCCAAACATCCCAATGCAAAACTCCTCCCACAACACGTTCAACACTTAGTAAAGCGTTCCTGGAAATATAACATTATACAATTAAAGCCAATGATGTCAGGTAATTATGAAGGCTTCAGAGCATCTATAAACATACCGGTTGCATTTGAATCTAGAAACATACTCATCAGCAGTATTCCAAAGCTTTATTGTTGTGTCTGAACTGCTTACTGCATCCTGAAGGCACGTTTTTATAGGATACCAGACGTTGGAATGGTATAGCTATTGGCAAGGCAGCAAGCTCTTGCTTGGCTGATTGAGGGCATCACGGTGGCGAGATGTTAACTACCTCGCCTGGTATACAAGAGGTTGTGATTTTCATTCCATCCCAGACACCTGTATATTCGGAGTCTGTATGCTGATCTCATCACTCCAGCTCTGCAGAGCCTGTTTTCTCGGCCGTGTGCTCTACTTTGGCTGCCATTCCATCACTACTCTCATCCATCAACCATCATCCACTCTCATGACATAACCTGCCCAATCCATCTTATGTTTCTGAACAGCTGATATGATGGAATGAATTCACATTTGTTCCCTGATTCATGTGTTCCACTTTTGTATTATCGGTCTAATACCAAGCATACATCACCCCTACCCTCCATGCTTCTTTACGTAATGTTCAGCTTTTGCTGATTTTAGTTTTAATTAATGGCCATGTTTCTGATCCACATCATTATAGGCAATACATGACGATTGCAAAAAATTATCAAGCACACAGGTAAATTGTCTTCATTAATCAATTTCGGTCTAATTAAAGCACTCCATCCTGCTCTCACTGACCTCCTTCGTGATTTTATCCCGACTGATTACTAAACATTTCTTAATGATGCATAGTTTATTGTTTTCTAGTTGTGTGTGTGTCAAAGTATTATTTTCTTTTGTTCAGCGACATTTTCACCACACATATTTGATTAATTAGTTGCATTTGTAGAAATCTCCAAATAACGCTCTCCGCTGCACAATGCTTTGTCTACAGCGGCGTATGCTATGCACCTTGCGATCACATTGCAGTACACTAGAGAAAAAAACAAGCTCTGGATGCAGACGCAGCCATTCAGTGTCCTAATTACTGAGTCTTAAAGACACGCAAGGGCAAATAGTCATACGTACAGCAGCCATGTGTGGCTCTCACACAGTGTTGATTAACCAAACACAAACTAGATTTCTGTGGAAAGAAGTATTCAAGGAGCTGATAGCCAATTTCAAAATTTTCAGGAAATATAAGTACCAATTTTCCCATTTCTAAAAGAATGCACAAAGGCGACCTTGCATAAAACACCTAAGCTCCTCCAAGGACTAGGGACCCTTTAAAAAAAAAACAAAGATGCGTACTATTTCACAAGATGGATGACCTATATCACAATTAGAGCAAGTCAAATTGTTTCCTTGCTCAAGCACGAAATAGGGTGGTGTTCATCTCCGTTGGTGGTCCTGAGCTAGCAATGGAAATTCCGCATTCTCATGGCAGGTTTGAGTCTTTCCAGAGTGGTGTTAAAGTTATATATAAAACTCAACTATTTTAATTTTACCAGGTACGGCCCATTGAGCTGTACAGAAATTTTTCAGAAGCGACCGGGCCACAAATGATAGTCCAACGAAGTGGCTGATCATGTGGAAATGTATAGCAGCCACATATTTTCAACGCATGTTTCTAAATGTGGAGTGAAAACCCAGAGTACCTGGAGAAAAATCCACGTAAGCACGGGGAAAACATGAAAGCTCCAAATATATAGACTTCAGTGTTGGGATCGAACCCACGACCTCCTGTATACCAGGCAAGGTAGTTAACATCTCGCCACCGTGGCACCCCCTATAGATGATATAAAGCAAAAATATATATTGACAAGCTGTTGTTAACCCCTTGGATTTTAACGTACAATCTTCTAATTGCGAGACAAGCATTCCAACCACAGCTCCACCTGGCTGGATATGTGGTACATGCCATCAATGAAGGCTGTTGTCTACGTGATGTATAGAAAAGAAATAAACACTGTATATCCTCAGGTTAAGTTTTAAATAAGTGGGCAAAAATAATGTTGGATTGGGACAATATATTGGCACTTAAAAATACGACCATGTACATCTACTGCATGCGATTTTTTGCACAATTTTGGCATATTGATTTCACCTGGTAATCGGGACACATTAAGCTTCTTTCAATGTAAGTGCAAACCTTGAATTCAAAAGCAAATACGATTTCAATCAAATACAATCACTATGATGCTCAAATAATGGGCTGTTTAGCCATCGAGTTTATTTCATTTTTTTTCATTAGGAAATGGCTACTGTGCAATTAATTGATGCAAATCCTAGACCTGTGTACTGATGGGGGGAAATGTCAACGTGTCTGCAGATTCAAAACCTGTTAAAAAATCAGGTCGAAGCTCAAGGCCACGCATCAGGCAAATATGATGCAAACGTTATGGTTAAATTAACTAGATTATTAAACCATAGTCAGGCAAAAGCGCTCATTGCAACACAACATTTAAGGGGGAAAAAACTAACCACCTATGTAAAAAAAAAGGCTTCCTTCAAAAAGGTTCAAAAGCTTAAGAAGGCTGCTCTGAAGGATCATTTCCCAAAACATGAGCCAGCGACATTTATTTTCTCTCGAATAATGCAGTTGTCATGATGAAAATTGTGAGTATTTTTAAACAGTAATTTGCAATTGCTTGCTCAACCCACGACTGGGATTAGGGCCTTGAGGGAGCTACAGAGAAACACTCAAGAGGGAATTCAGGCCTTCACTTTCATGCTGGCCAGACATTTTGAATATAACTTAAACTTCTTTCACACCGTACATGGCCAACCGTGCCAACCAGTTGGGTACTCCCACTTCACCCCTGCACACGTGCACACGTGTGCACCAATGGAGCAACTGTCGTGTAACCATTCATACCGATAGGTGGAGAGGCAGGGGGATTCACCTGCATCATTGTTTCAACTGTTTCACGACGAGATCGAACCTGCGACCTATGGATTGCAAGTCCGGTCTGCGAAGCATTACGTCGCAGCAGCTTCCAGTTACAATGTCCTCATGTGCATTTTAAACTGAAGCTGTGCAAAGCAATAAAATATTGGATCAAGCACACGTCTTCTGTTCATGACAATTAGCACTGCCCGCGTATTTGCGCGGGATACATGGCCGGGGTGGAGGGTGCGTTTGGGGGGGGGGGGGGGCGTGACGTCGGCGCAACGCACAACCGGCTCAACGCTGTGGCATGCGAGTGACATCACAATCGCACACTTGCCATCGCGCACCAGCCAGCCAGAAAAACGTCGTTATTATAACATAGTATGACGCTCTGTCCGACTCGAGCGTCATGCGGCGGGTTACATTTTAAGTCTGTTATTGCATAGAAGCATCGTGTATCACGTTGTATTTTGAGTATGTGATTACATACACGGTTTACATGTACGGACAAAACGATAACACTGTTGGATTCTGGTGTGCGATGAAAAAGAGAAAACACTATAGATTCACAGAGTGGAAACCTTTTCTATTACGGAGGGAGGAGTTGCCTAGTTAAAAAGAAACTGGATTTATAGAGCGTTCAAATGCTTGAGTGCCTTAGATAACATTGGCCAAATGTGCCGAGTGAAAAATAAACTATCCCTAAACCCCGTGGTGAACAAATCTTTGCATCCAATGAAACACAACATGCCATGAGATAGTCACTTATCCAATAAATCGCCGTTTGAGTCTCTTACGCATATTCTTGTCAAGATTTAACGTTCTTGATAATCATTCCTTTGATCCTGAAAACTACAATTATGCATTCCAAACGGACGTCTAATATACGACCACTGAGACACCACAGCGATACTCTGCTGCCCCAGACACGGTTATCTGGCTTGACCAACTGAGTGTAAAATTGTCGTTGTTGCTCTGTATCTACATCAGTCATACGAAAGAAGAAGACCATAGAGGAGACTGTTTCGTTCAGTGCAGTCAGCTGTTCAGTTTTCACTGTCAATGACCGTGTGAGAACCCGCTGCACAACAACGCACGTCTCTTTTGCAGGGGGCCAAGTATAGATACGCAAACCGAGGACAACTTACAGAAGTGTGTTGCTCTATTTTTCAAGGTTTTCCTAGAACAATGACTGCTAGTCTCAATAGGCTCTTACCTGGTTATGAAGAGTATCCATTAATGTACATTAATCCTTCCTTAGTTCAGATCAGTGCTTTCTGTGTTAAGTCGCCCTACCTTAAATGTAATAATTATTTATGAACTGAAAAACCAAACAATTCTGAAGGACGTATATACATATATACACAAAGAT